AAAGATTAGAAACGGTGCATTCTTCTTATCGGTCAGACAAGATCTCACAGATAAACATCTATAGGACTTACCAGTTTGTTCATTCCTGACTCTTCAGTTCAGTCATTCTCCGCTTTCTGTGGGTTTGATGAAACAGAAGTACAATTTGAATTAGTATTGCAGAAGATGCTGAATACAGCTAAATTGAAATTACTGCTTCAATGTAAATAACTAACCCTGTGTCTTCAGTGAGAATAAAGATACAGCTCAGGATGAAGATATAGTTCAGTTAGTATCTGGAAGGTCTATCCTTTCCCATTTACTGATTTGTATATTAGAAAGATTTTAAACAGATAATAGTTTCAAAGAACTACTTGCATCAGGTTTTTTAAGCACAGTATGCAGAGCTGTTCCTTGAATAGCATCTCGTTTCCTGTAGGTAATATTTAAAAAATAAACTAAAACGTTTGAAAAACAGACATTCAATTATTTTCCATGGTAGAAAGAAATTACAGAGTATCTAGTGTATATTTTCTTGAACATTTTTGGCTTTTCAAATCCTGTTACGTTCATGGAAGAAGGGGAGTGCATAGTATGAAATTAGATGTGCTTAACTCAGTCTTTTAGGGCTAAAGTAGACTGAAAAAGTCATATTGTTGTTTAAGGTCGCCTCATTACTTAGGCTGCATTTAACGTTTTCCTCCTGTTTTATGAGCCTTTGGCATGGCCTGAATTAGGTCATATAACATCCCTTTTGCCCAATCCCTTGTAGCCAATGTATATTTTGTCCCAATGCTTCACTTTGTCAGGCACATTTGTGTTCATGGGAGAAACTGATTGTAGAGCAGTAACATTATTCAAAAGTTATTTTGGATTTTCAGAACATAGCTGTCACTCCATGTGGGTCACACAAACTCAGGAATCAACTTTCCCAGGGTCAGTAATGGAGGGAGAATGATGATGGTCTCAGACGTCTCTCAGCTTTCTGCCAATCTGTTGTGCTTAGACGTGATGAATTAAGCTGAAAACCTGTCCTTCAAGATAACTGAAATTACCCTTTTCAACTTTCTGGAAAAGTAATTAAATATTACTCTGTTCTAGCTAGGCATCATGTGGTTTATTACTGACGGTGCAAATGCCATTAGGCTATTGATTTGATGTGTCTTCCATTTATAGCATGCATCTTCAGAGCAGCCTCTAAGTACATTTGGAATGAATAACATAGCTGACATATGTTGGTGTTCTCTAAAATCAGCCTTAACTAAAATAACTTCCTCTTCATAGATCGGTACTTAGGGATATTAAGTATAAGTAAATAGGCAGGGTACTGGCAGTGAAGGCTTGAAACAACTACTGATGAATGTTAAAACAGAAATTCACGTGCCAACGCAAGATGAAGACAAAAGTAATGACTGCTGGGGAATTGACAATGAAGAAATTGAAATGGTGCAAGATTTTCTGTTCCTTGGCTCCGTCATTGACTAAAAGGGGGACTGCACCCAAGAAATTAGAAGGAGATTGAAACTGGGGAGGGCAGCCATGAAGGAGCTAGAAAATATCCTTAAGTGTAAGGTTGTGTCACTGGTGGCCAAGATCAAGTTAATTCATGCCCTAGTATTCCACATTACTATGTATAGTTGTGAAAGTTGTACAATGAAGAAAACTGACAGGAAAATAGTAGATTGAAATGTGGTGTTGGAGCAGAGTTTTATGGATACCATAGACCACCAAAAAGACAAACAAGTGGGCTCTAGATCAAATCAAGTCTGAACTCTCCCTAGAAGCTAAAATGACTAAACTGAAGCTATTGTACTTTGGCCACATTATGAGAAGACAAGAGTCACTGGAAAAGACAGTCATGCTAGGAAAAGTTGAAGGTGGTAGGAAAGAGGACACCTTCCCACTTCTCTCCTCCTCCTGGGCTCCCTGGTGGTGGCAGCTCTCTTGCCCTTCCCACCACCATCTCCTTCTCTCCCTGCTGCTTCTCTGGTGGTTGGCACGCATGCCTGCCTACCTGCTTTCTGGCTTGGTCATCCACCCCCCTGCAGCATTAGTAACTCTGCCTGCTGGGCTCACTCAGTGGTTGCTTTCCTGCCCTCTCCACTACCTCCTCCATTTCTTCCATCACCTCTATCACCCAGCAGCAGTGCCTTTTGGCTGGTTTGACTGTTTTTGACTTTTTATGGGGCTGCTAAGCAACCCTCAAAAGATACCCCCCCACACACAGTCTGTACCTGGCCCCATCATGTGGGTTTTTCAGTCCACATCCTAAGGTCCAGATTCAGCATTAGATGTATGACGGTGTTCTTTATTATTTGGTGGAAGACTATCTAGTCTTTTATAGTAAACCAGTTTGATAAAGCAGAGTTACATCTTTCAAGACAATAGCATCCTAAATTACTACTGTCGTGTCTTTCAGAAGAAACGCTGGACATGCTATGACTCGTTGAGTAATAAGATGGTGGCTTTTTTCTTCTTCAGCAGCACTCGGTTTTTTAGCTGTGTAAAACTGCACTCTTGTGTAAAGCTGCACATCCAGTTCCATGTTTGTTTGTACTACATGTTAGCTCATAAAATAGCACAGCAGGAGATTTTAGTTTTATTCTACAAATACGATTGCTCTCATTGTAAGCATTTTAGAGCTAGAGAAGAGCAGGTTGTGGCTAACTCAAGCATGTACAAATGGCTTCTGTTTCACCATCCTTTATGGATGGCATCAAATGAATGACCTAACCCTTTACTTGCTTAAACAAGGACATTGTACACTGGACATTTCTGTTAATCTAGAAGTGGAAGGGTTGTTCAGTCTAAAAAAAGAGCTAACCAAATAACAGCTGGGAAATGTGCGTCAAACACCACAAGCTAGCTTGTCTCACCCATGACAGATGTCCTTGTGTTTTTCTTTGATACTGAATTATGTTGACATTATTTCTAATTTTTCATTCTCAATATCAGATTTTAGTGTAGTATTTCTTGGCTGTGTTTTGTTGAAGTTGTAAGATATTTTAGAATTGGTGGAAGGATGGTGCTTAAATGGGTAGATCTTTCAAAAATATGGCAATGTGCTTAATCAATTTTATTGGGTTAAGTATGGTGTTGACAACATTGGAACTGTTGTTGAAGATAATTGTATAAGGAAATTTTGTCATTCTTAAATGGTCTTTCAAAGAGAAACAGTAAATATCCTTTTTGTGGTGAACTGAGATTTTAGATGTGTAACGTCTGCAGTCAATGCAGTGAAAATAAAGGAAATATTTTGTTAAACGTTTGATATGTGCTAATGCCAAAGGAATGTAAGTGTGCAGCTGTCAATACAATTGGTTGCATCTGACAGAAAAGCTTGTAGAACAAGTTGGTGAAGTGCATCTCTTATGCCTTGACCTTTCACCAAGCACCTTGCTTTCTGAGGGTCAGGAGATCCCTGTAAACAAAATGCAGTATAGGATAGGGTGCTGCAGTGATAACAAGAAAATTCAGTATCTCCTCCTTCTGTTGGCAGCTTCTGTTCCTTTGGAAGTCCCTAGGAAGTACTTGATATAATTACCCAAAAAACTATTTCATATCAATGAAGTGAACTAAATTATTGCTTGTATGCCTCTTTGTGTACTTAAAGGTGGATTATAGATGTCCTAAATGTATAAATTCCGGTTTTCTATGTAAAAACAGAAAATCTATGGGTACAAGTATTGAAAGTTCAAGGTCAAACTATAATGTAAATCACTGGTACCCAAAGTGGGCAATACTGTCTCCTCAGGGGCGCTGTAATGATCCAGGTGCAGATCCACAAACTGCATATTTTTGTCTACTTCTTGAAGGTAGATGTCCAGGGGGGTGCTGAGTAATTTTTTTTCCTGAAAAGGGGGTGGTAGGCCAAATAAGTTTGGGAACCTCTGATGTAAATATATTATGACAAATTATGAATATTTATAACTCTGTTAACCAACCATATGGATGTTTGTTTTTCTGTATACAGAAAATACTCCATCCAGCAATTACGAGCCTTTGTTTCTTGAAGGCTCTGGGAATTTGCCTCCAGTTTTCCACAAGTAACTTCATACTGGGTTGTGGCCCTTTTTAGGCTAATATCCTCACATGTGCTGAGGCAGCCAAGAGTTGTGACCCCTTCTCTCCCTCCCCTCCAGTTTCTAAGCGGATGTAACTGAGTATTGCAAAAGGTGTATTTGTTGAGTTACTAGAAGTTTTGTAGTGTGCTGTTAAGTAGTATAAAACGTTTGTGTGCAAACCAATAGGTCTAATTGTTACAGCAACCAACCGTAATGAATTATTGTTCAGGAAATTCATGAAATATGTTAGCCTGATTAGCCTCTCCATTTGCACTTGTAATTTTTACAAAACATATTTTAACACCATGGTGCTATCCCAACTATTTGTATTTGTTTGTTTTAACAGTGAGCAGAGCATCTGCCAAGCACGTGCTGCTGTAATGGTCTATGATGATGCCAATAAGAAATGGGTGCCAGCTGGTGGGTCCACTGGATTTAGCAGAGTTCATATATATCATCATACAGGCAACAATACATTCAGAGTAGTTGGCAGGAAGATTCAGGATCATCAGGTAAGTGAGTTCTCCTAACCAAAACAATTAAAATTATATTTCCAGTGTCATTTAACTTTTAAAAAAGTGTCATTGAAGATTATGTTGGGGGTTACCTTACAGCATCTGATTGTGCAGGAAGCAACTGTGTACCAGCTGTCTTTCTTTCACACACAAAAAAAGGTAATGGAGAGCTGGATCAATTAGTGGTAGCAGGTGGGACACATTTGAATGTCATATAATGATAAACTTGTTGGTGCAGCCTTAAAGTTAAACTTGAAAATAAATTCTGTTAGAAGGATTTTTAATACTGAAGTAAAGATAAACTGGGTGCCTTGTCTTACGTCACACTGATAATACGGTTTCTTTATGAACAAGTGTTCCTGTGTGCTTAAACAAATTGGGTCATAGCTGTAATTAAAGTACTGGGTCATTTGGAATTAGTATCTAGGTAAATGCATATACCTCTTAGAGGATTATGATATGTGGAATTCAAAAACTCATGTAAAGTGGTATAGGTTGAAATATAGTGGTATGTACTTGACAGTTTCATTAGTGAAGGTTTGGCACCAATTGGGAAACAGTGACCACAATGCTGGTAAGTTCAGTGTTCACGTCAGTGAGAAGTTACCCCAAAGTTCAAAGCAGTCAGGGCCGGTTCACCTGCTAGGCGAACTAGGCATTCGCCTGGAGTGCGGGCCGGCCCTTAGGGGTGCCAAAGCCCCCCAGCCCCTGCCAAAAGCCCTGAATGATGGCTTCCCTGCTGAGCCCCACCGCAGGAGAAGAAGGAGGTGGCCGGCAAGCGAGCGGAGGCGGGAAGTGCTCGGGGGCTGCGCCCTCTGGCCTCACAGCAGCTGAGCCTCCCCTTCTGGCGAGAAAGGAAAGGCGGTGGGGATCGAGGCCCTGGTCTCTGCCCACCTGCCCCTCTCGCGCTCTCTCTCTGCACTGGCGAGGGAGGGAGGGAAGCAGGGAAGGGAGGAAGGAAGGAAGGAGGGGCGGCAAAATGTGGCCACTCGCTGCATTGAGCACGCCGGAGGGAGGAGATTGGGGAGGCAAAGAGGAGCGGTGGCCCATGCACGCCTCCTGTTCCCGGTGTAACTTGCAGCCAATCATCAGGAGGTGTCCACAGCCCCTGCATCCTCCTCACCTCCTGGGCGCGGCCTCTCTCTCTCCCTCCTGCCCCCAACACACACACACTCCCCACCTGCCCCTTCGCTTCCCTCCCCTCCCCTCGGAACCACACACACATGCACACACACAAACAGAGAGTGAAGGTGGGGGGGGAGAGGGAAGAGACTCGGCCGGAGGAGCAGCGGGCTGCGCCGCGTTGGCGCCCCTGAGCTCTTTGCTCTTCTTCCAGCCCAACCGTCCAAGTTTGCCGGGTATGTTGGGGGAGGGAGGGGGGAGCCTGGGCGCTGGTGCTGCCATCCCCGCCCTGCCCACAGGTTCCCTCTTGGCGAGGGGCCTCTTCCTCCTCCTCCTCGCCGCTGCCGCCGGGCACCTGGAAGCGGTCTGGCCTCGTCCCTGCGCCACTCTCGGCGCACTCCTCTGCCTGGCTCACCTGCAGCCGCCCCAGCAGTCGACGGTGGGCTGAGCTCCCTCCGGCCCTGGGCAGAGCTGAGGCAACTTTGGAGCCTCCAAAGGGGGAGAGAAGTTGGACTAAGTTCTCTCCAGGCACTGCCTGGAGGTTGGTAACGTGCGGTGGGTGCCAGAAGGTAGCCTCGCCTAGGGTGCAAAAAAACCTCAGGCCGGCCCTGAAAGCAGTAACATTTGATTCAAAAGAAGAAGCTTTACAAAAATGAGGGGACTAGTTAGAAGGAAGCTGAAAGCGAAACTCAAGAGTCAGATCCCTAGACAATGCTTGGAAGCTATTTAAAACCACATTAATTGAAGCCCGGATAGAATGCAACCCCAGGTTAGGAAGAGTACTACCAAGTCTAAAACGATGACTGTATGGTTAATGACTCAGTCAAGGAAACCATGAAAAACAAACACTAGTGTCTGTTTGTAGTGTGTAGATTTGTTTGTTGTAGATTATAAAAAATTAATAAAAGTGTACCTATGGGTACTTATAAAAAAGAAAAGAAAAACAAAAAGGCTTCTTTTAAAAAGTGGAATTGAACAGAAAGGAGCACAGGGCCTGTCAAAATAAGTTCATGATTACACAAGCAAAAATAAATTTGAGGAGCAGAGTGCTATACTGGTCAAGGAAGTAGTTGAACCTTTGGATGACCAGGGAATAAAAGGTTTACTGAAGGAAGATGGGGAAATGGCAGAAAATATAAATTAATTTTTTCCCCATCTGCAATCACTGTAAGGTATGTTGCATGTATGTAGGCCACAGCCACTATTTTCAGAAAGGGAATCCAAAGAACTAAGTCAAATGGAGGTGATAAGAGATGAAGTTCTAGATCTGTAAGGGAACAAAATTACAAATGAATAAATCACCAGGTCCTGATGGCATTCATCCAGGGAATCTCAGGTAGCTCAAATGTGAGATTGTTGATTTGCTTACCAGTATACCAGCCACTGTATTGGAAGACGGCAGAGTAGCAAATGTTACACCAATTTTTAAAAAGGGGTCCAGAGGGGAACCAGAAAATTTTAAGCTAGACATCTGTTCCAGTCAAATTAATAGAATTACAAGGCATGTAGAGGAGCAAAAGGTGCTGAGGGAAGATCAGCATGACTTCTGCAAAGCGAAGTCCTGCCTCACCAGCCTTTTGGAGTTTGTGAACAGTCATGTAGATAACATTGACAGTAGATATTATATACTTTTTAAAGGGTTTTGACAAGGTACCTCACCAAAGACTCCTGAGCCATGGGATAAGATGGGTACTTTTATGGATTAAAAAAAGAAAGCAGAGTAGGAATAAATGACAGTTCTCTCAGTGAAGGGAAGTAAGCCGTGGGGGATCCCCCAAGAATTGGTATTAAGGCTGGTGCTATTTAATTTGTTTGTAAATGATCTGGAACTGAGAGTGAACAGTGTAGTGGGCAAGGTTGCAGAGGGCACAGAATTACAGGTGGTGAAAACCAAGGTCTGACTATGAAAAGCTCCAGGAGGATCTTGACAATTGGGTGAGCGGGTGACAGTATGGAAAATGAAATTCAGTGTTGGTAAGTGCAAGGTGATGCACATTAGAACCAAAAAATCCCAACTTCAAGTAAATGCTAATGTGGTCTGAACTTGCCAAGACCAAAAGGTAAAGATACCTTAGGGTTGTAGAGGATAAGTGAAAAGGTCAACCCAGTGTACTGCCGTGTTGAAAAAGGCAAACTCGGTGCTGGGGATTATTAGGAAAGTGATTGAAAACAAAACAAAGAGGCCAATATTATAATGCAATTGTGTAGATCTGTGGTGCAGCTTCATTTTAGAGTACTGTCTGCAGTTCTGGTTGCAGTGTCTCAAAAAGGGACATTGCAGAGCTGGAAAAAGTACATAAGAGGGCAACCAAGGTGATAACCTTTCTTATGAGGAAAGGCTGAAGAATCTGGGAGGGAGAATGATAGAGGTTTATGTACAAGGTAGAGAGGAAGGACATTTTTTCTCCCAACATACTAGAAATTGAGGGACACCTGATTAACTTGATGGGCAGTAGATTTGGTACAGAGAAAAGGAAACATTTATTTTGTCAACAAGTGATTAAAATGTAGAATTCACTGCCAGAGGATGGAGTGATGGCCACAAACATAGACAGCTTTAAAGAAGAATCAGATAGATTCATGGAAAATAGGTTTATCACTGGCTACTACCCATGCTTACTAAAGGAAACCTTCACATTCAGAAGGCAGACACTGAACCG